TGACTGTCTTCTTATGTATTGCGCGGTGTAGTCAGGTAGAAGTTTGCCGACGTTTCAGAGACACCTGCTGCCTCCATCATCGTCCAGATTACAAACAACCGCAAGTACCTCTGAAACGTCGATAAGATTTTAGATGCGTGGCGCAACACCCCAGCAGGTAATCATCTTAACATTCGATTTCGTGAGAACTTGAAATATAATATTCTAATAAATAACTATATCATGGAGCAGAGTTCCTTTTGAATAACAGATAATCACTCGGCTGACCAAGACATTTCTCGACGTCTTTTATTGTGTCCACAAGAACCCGTCACTGGTCCCTATACCGAGCCAGATGAACGCAATGTGCAACCCTCACAACCTGTTTCTGTAAGAACCATCTTAATGCTATCGTTAAATGATAGTATAGGCCTGATATAAATTAGTTACTCAGTGTCCTATAGCAGTTTGCGGATTGTATATGATGGGTAGAAGGCAGACTGCCACAGAACCCACAGCGATATCATACATTTCTCACGAAGGGTGTTGCAACATTAACTGGACCGAAGCAAAGCATCTCATTAGAGCCATGCCGCCGAGTGGGTGGACCACCTTCGGTCCTATTTGCTGATCTTTACCGGCACCCACGCAAGAACGAACACTTTACAACTGGAAAGTATCCAACCGGTTCTTTCCCGTGAGGTTTACATACAGACACTTCACATTTATTAAAGTGTTATTCAGATGGTGAGAATGAAAAGTGGGATTCATAATATTTTAATTTCAGAATAGTCTACCAACTAAACTAGCTTCATGAAACCAATCCTTTTTGAAAACCTGATGGTACTTCAGACAGTCAAGACATTTTCCGTTTTTACAGAACCATTAAGTTTCATTACCGCGTTCAGAACACCCAAGTGGCGTCTACTTCGAGTGTTCCGACTAAAACGTCGTATGAATTTCTCATCTATCTCACGCGTGCTACATGTTCTGATAATCTCATTATGTAATTTTTCCATAAGGATGGAAGGATCCTGTTCATAATACGTCGCCAACCTCCTGTAAAGGAGACGGCCTTAATAAAGAATAAGAAGAATTTTTCCATCATCTTGGTACTTTCCCTCTCTTAGGCCTACACACTCCTCACAGCTCCCCGTTCTTAAAATCATTCAGTCTATTTTCATACCTTAAGGTTTGTTACGTGTGCGAATTACCGCGCTATCATATAAATATTGTCTGAAACACTCGAACTTCTTATGTTAAAAAATACTCGTACACCGAAAAAGTTTAAAATCTGCACGCTGAGAATAATTTCACTATGTATTCGTTTGGTTTGGGATGGAGTTTATGGCATTAAGTACTGCAGTACTAAACCCGTAGATTGTACTTCAAGTTGGAGTACGTCCTTCCAATCTCGATAAGGTACTCGGCGTTCTTAATAGGAGACTGCAACAAATCGACCACGGGAGGCATTTAAAAACTTAAATGATATAATACACACTCAGTGCTATTCTATGATGATATTTTAACAAAACCTCTTGTCCCACTTCTGCTCGCTATAGTACTTGATACAACCGGTACAGGAAAAGATCTAATCTCAGACCTGGGGTCCGGACTTTCAGCCAGTTTTCTCAGCGGTTCCCTGTGTATGACCATTCAATGCCTCAGATGCACCGAGCATTTGTGGTACCACTAGGCGGGGCGGAACCGAAAGAACGAAGTGACCTGTGAATGACGTTAAGATTCACCTAGAATCAGGGAAGATCTATGATGACCAGTCAGTTAGGACTGGGAACAAGGCGGGTTGCCTAGCTAACTAACTACCTACCTACCTGATTTTAAAAATGCAACCAACAAACAAACTAACAGTTCAGCATGTCTAACATCTTTACAATATGTTGAATTTAAGATCTGGATAAGAAGACCTTACTGAATATACCGAACGTAAAAATATTGCGAGATATCAGTTCCACAAACTTTCGGGTCAGTTAGAAGAGGATGGTAGTTGTCTGGGTTGTTGAACCGTGCGGCCATTTTATCAACGTTTTGGAAGACCATAAACTTACTGCGTCCATCCTCATTGCTGAAGATCACATCACTTCGGATCCCAAAAGAAGGAATTTACTGAGCGGCCTAATACGCATGGAAAGTCCATACAAGCGTAGCGTTAAAAGACTTTTCAAACAGTCAATCTGGCACACAATTTTTATCTCTATCCTACACAATTTTATGCCTAATATTAGAAATAACAATGCTGTCAGGCTTGTAAGTCACTTAAACATACATTACTGGACCACACAAAGTGTTCAGGCACTTGTTCCACACCTCACACTTCACACTTAATGTACGTCCATTTCACTGACACATTCGGCTAATTAACTGAACACATGAAGTTTAGGACCCAACCCAGGCCAAGTAAAGCTTCCACACGCAACGAACTTCTATTCTGCATATATTTTGAACATCTCCACAAATTATATCTAAAGTTTCAGAATATTACATATAATATGCAACATCACTGTTGTCTGCGGTTCTTTTATTTCTGAGAACACACGTGGGCACGACTGAGAATGATCTTTTAGAAATGAGAATAAAGCTACATTGTCTGGATAATAAAAGAAGCCTGCACCGACGTAATGAAGGTTAATATGTCTTAATCGCACAAAATGTATAAATAGAAAGCACAATGGCGAGGTCTGTCCGTTCGCAGGTTTCGTCTAAGAAATACCAAACAGATTTCGATTAAATTTGATGTTAGAAATATAATACATAACATTGTAAAATGTACTTAATTTTAGTATGAATCGACCAAATACACCCCACCTGTAGGCGGAGCAAACCGGAGTCATAAAAGTCTAAAAACGGTTAATCGCATAAAATATAAGTGCACGGTATAAAGTGTAGCTCTCATTAAAACCTTCAAATCTTGTTTACAACACTTTCAATTATGTTGCATATTTAATTAAATCCAAGCGAAATTAATTCGTGAGTTCGGCGTGTGATATCTGTAGAGCGATTAACTTTGTAAACAACACATTTGTATGCGCGAAACAATTACATGAAACCCATAGACAATTAAAAATTCGTGAATAAAGAATTTGAAAAATACGTGGCCACTGTGCACATGTTTTTACTCTCGAATTCCTGGGGAAGAACCAGTTTCAATGCAGTTTGTGGGGAAAGTGGACTTGTTGTGACAGTACTAAACACTTGTCCTTAATTTGTAACGTGGAAGTACTGAAGTTATGTCTTCCACCTTGTTTATAAATGTTACGATACCAGTTAAAGAGCTTGCTATTTATGCCATCATAAAATAGCGTCTTGTTAACAGACGAATAATGCAGTCAACGACAGCTCAGGGGCACGAAGGGACGTCGTTATGGTTTTATTATTTTTGAGGGGTGGGGCTAGAAATAACTGCGCGGTGTAATTTTATTTTCCTAACAGAATGCAAAGAACGTTTCTTTTCTCCCCCCCCCAAAAAAAAACAAGCAAACCAACCCCACAGAACACTACCCTTGAACAGATGATATATGCTTACCCAGTCAAGAAATTCGCCGTATGTTATGAAAACCGAAGGTTCAAGCCAGTTGCATACAGCCCACATCTCACATCCTTTTTAAGACTCATTTTAATATTATCTTCCAATTTATGACCAGGTCTTCCCTACCGGCTTCATGGCTGAAGTTTTGTAAATATTTGTCCGGTGTGATACACAGTCTCATCCTTCTGGATTTGATTATCGAAATAACATTTGGTGAAGATACACACTTTCCCTATTTTGTTATTATTATCTGTCTTCTTTGTCGCAAATATTCTCCTCAGCAAACGCCATTAATCCATATTCTGCGCTTAGGGTGAGAATCCAAGTATCACTAACTTAAAACAGGTACAATTATGGTTTTGAAACTTAAATATTTATGCAAAAAGATGGAAGATAAAAATTCTGGCGTGAATGTTGCAATTATTCTCGGAATTAATCTGATATTAACTCCGTAAACGCAAAATTGATTTGTTAATATATTTCTCAAATGTTTACAAATTTTGCTTATTTCCGAACTACTTATTAGCTGTTTTTACATTATGATTTTATCCTGCATTCTGATTGTGAGATATGGACCCAAATAACACCGTAGATGCGTCGAGAACTAAGTAACTTTCTCATTGAAACTTGTAACAGATACAATAAATTTCTTACAGTGTGTTCTGAATCCTTTGCCTTCATCACAAAAGCTGTTTAATTCCTACGCGTGTGTAGTTAATCAGTATATTGAAATAAGTTTCATGTCACAATATTTCCTATGGCTATTATCCTAAGGTTTTGCTACATATATATCCAATACTATTCAAACAAACACAGTTCTTCTGGTTTGCATACTCACAAGAGTGCAGCCATTTCCCATTCATGTTTTAAGGGGCACATGGTCGCTTATTAACAATTTTGAACCATCAATCACGTCAGCGGGGCGTCTAATAGCTACGACTCGGACATTAGAGGATGCGTACAAAAGTAACATTAAGGGCTTCATATAAAATTCCCATCAGGTTTCCGACACATAACAACTTCGAAGGCTAAGGCAGTATAATAAAACGATAGCAGATAATCAGACTGAAACAAATCTAATTCAAGATGACGTCTCTCCTTTAATTAAGGACTGTTCATACTTGCCTAATGTTGACCGTATCTTCTCTCGTCTAAAAGGATTAAGACAGAAGGATTATTCCCTCTTCAAACGTAATATAAGTTCGTCGTTGTCTGTTCATCCCATTCCGGCGACTTTTATACATTTATATTAGGCAAGAATGTGCTAAGAAATATCGCCACACCCAGATCATAGTCTCCTGGCCCAATATCGCTTCATAAGAAAATTCTTAATTGCTGGCTCGGACATATAACAAAATATTTCAATCTTCATGCGAAATACAAAACTACACAACTGAAGTAGTAATTTAAACAACGAATACTTTAAATATTAAATAGCACTTTTAATACTTGAGACATTTTATATATTCAGACTTACCATAATCCGGCAACTGTTCATTCGTTTATGTCGATAATTATGGAACTCTTCTGAAAAAGAGGAAATATTCTATATTCAGATTTATATGAAGGTATTTTAATATGTAAAGATGTCAAAGAAACAGATTATATCGCAATGACGCAAAACATTTTTTTTTTCCGCTCATTTTATGTTTGGCTGCTAAGCATATGCAGTATAAGTTGTTGAAAATTAGGCCCAAATAGGTATAACCCGAATTTAAAGGTTCAGATGTTTGTTAGCCACAGTTTTCGTGACAACACATTGCTCGCGAGCCAGCCAGCCAGCGGTTGTATACTCTCTCAGAACTCAACTGTAAATTTAAGTACGAGACATAGGTCACTCATGATTCTTTTACGATTCTCTTGGTAAGTTGCATGCATGCTAGAGTTCATATTATTTATGAATGATTTAATTGGGAGTTTTTGATTAGAAAGGCATGGAAACGAAGGTGGGAGGGATGCTGAAATACGTGGTCTGAACGTGTAATGCACACAATCTTGCGAGGTCCGGAGAATCCAGTTCATCAGCATCTACAGGCGACTAGTATATGTATTAGAGATTTAACCTAATTAGAGGAACGCTAAACTTTGATATACTGTGACATCAAAACATTTTAAAGGGTTGAAACCCCTCCTTTCACTATATTAAAATATTAACCAAGCTTGTATCATAGTACTGTCAATGTGTGGTAATCTGATCGACCCTTTTCCTTTAAAATTTTGTATTTGTAAGTCCTCTGCAACATTTAATCCAAAAACATGAGTTACACTCGAGAGAGTTCTACACAATCAGTAATAAGATTACCTCAACAGAAAGGTGACGAAATTCTGGATAAAGGATAAAGAATTGTATTCTTCTCCTGGACACACATTTTCCTATTTGTTATAAATAATTTTCAAAATGCATGGGCACAGCTGCGTGGCGATTGTTTCCATAAGGCAACTGGGTGGTTATTTCACAGAAACTAGTGGCAATTACGAGCTACTTACTTTTATTTATTCTGTAAAGTATTTTTCTTTATATTACACTGTTTCTGTGAAGATTAAATGTATAAAGACATATGTTTGTCGATATTTTTGCTTCTTTTGTAAAATAGAGGAAATCCGAGGCCCCTTAAGAATTACGTAAATGGATGGTGCCCTTCGAGGACCGACTGTTGATGCGGACGTCACACCATTCTTCTACATCACTACACCAACACATTTCAGAGTGATTGAATTGTACAAATTTTGGATGCGTTCTAAACTGTTTCATGCCAATCTGTCCTATCCCAGATAACAGCACCCAAGCCAATGTATACGGAAGTTCTGCTTTATAGTTTCACCGTGCGTAGAGTTGGAGTAGGTTTCAGGTTACACGGCAGTTCAGTGTTAAAGTGAATCTTATTTGTTTTTTTTTGTGCAAATTGATGCACTTGTCAGAAGGATTGGAACAAAGCATGTGTAAATTTCATCAGCGTTAATTCATTCAAGACCAAATGCAAAGGACTCATTTTTTGCGTACCTCAGTACTAGCCTGAGATAAAAATTCTTAAAATCAAATTTACATGAATTCACAAGATACGCATGTTTTGTCTTACACAATAATTGCATATGAAGTTCACGGATATATCGAAAATTATTAGTATGACATAAATCGACATTTTGAAGCTGAAGCTCGTATAATAATATTTAAAGATTCAGTCCTTAACGCAAAGAACACATATCACTCCTCCATAACAAAGATAAATGGTTATAATCTCTGTTTATTCTTTTAGTCATAAGAAACCTAGAAATAATAATATAACTTACCATTGGGCTTTAAAGTGTTAATCACAACAGATATGAAGTGTGCGTTATAGGAAGCATAAACAAAACTCAAATTTTAATGTCGCCACAAATGTTGCAGCTGCCTCTTATTATTTCAAGTAGAAACAGTAAATGTCTGCACGATGTTAAGTTGATATCCCCAGGGGGAAGGCCATTTAACCCGCGTGTGTCTGGAACTGCTATTGTTTGTACAAAATATTGATTGTAACGTCACAACACGCAACTCAAGTGTAACTCAGTTTCATAATGTAGTATCTATTTTATTACTAATTTCTTGGTTAAACTTTTAACATTTGATTCCAATGTGTGTTTAGTTTTCCTGTTGTTTTTGTTATTTAGAACGGCGGTTCTTGCATAGTAGTATATAGTTCAAATACAGCCAGAAACAAACACAAAATGCTCGCAGAAGATTATCAAATGCATTTCAACCAAGTACTCAGTGTCACTACACAGAGCTGCCCATTCCGGAAGTGAGACACATTTCCTCTTCTCATTCATTACATGGTCCCAAACACCATGGGCGCTACACAACTCGCTAGCGGAAAAAGGAGTCGCGTTGAATTTCAATGGGTAACGATTTCTTTCGTGTCTTAACCTCCTTTAGAAGTAATTCTTAAAGCTGAATCATTTGAAGAATAAAACATTCTGCATTGCATTCATTTTTAATGGACTATTACACATTAATGTGCCGGGTACACACAGCCTAAATATATTTATATTTACGTTTGCTAGTACGCAGTGGTTTTAGACCTACGTGATTTTACGCAAATACTGTGAATCATCTACATCAGTACTGATAAATTTCTTTAAACATTGCGTAGGCAAGATGACATCTAACGGCATTTCGTTGGTAAGTTTAAAGAAAATGTGTCATTTTAGTTAAAAATTGCTACAAGGGGATAGATACACAAATGCACACTCGAGCATGATAGCAACTATTAGGCCGGGCGCAAACGGAGCCACTAGCCACAGCTACTTGTGGCCGCCACAAGCTGCGATCTGTATTTTGTATGGAGTTTTAATAGCGCAGACACGGCGTTCGTAGTGGCCCGACCGGGCCACTCGCTGCGGTAGTGGCCGTGTCTCGCTACTTGTGGCTGCCTCCGACCACTGTTTATTCCGCTAGTGGTCGTGTTTAGCCACAAGTGGCGGCCACTAGTGGTCGTGTTTAGCCACTAGTGGCTCCGTTTGCGCCCGGCCTTATAAACGACAAACATTTTGATCTAAGCGACCAGAAATAACAGGGGGATTAAGAAAATCATATAATGAGAAAGTTCACTACTTGTATTCTTCGCTATATATCATAAGAGTAATCAAATTACGAATTATGAGAAGGAAAGAGACCAGCTGAAAGACCTAGATTTTAATGTCTCTTTTCGCAGACCATCCAGGCAAATATCGGGACAAATTCTTAAATTAGGCGTTCTTCCACGTCCTTTCAAATTCATTATACGTTAATTAGCATATTAATCGACGCTATGTAGCTGGGCTGTTGATAGTGTCATTAAATACGCACATTAACCAAGTGACCACAGTGACCACAGTGACCACAGTGAAGCACTGTCACAGATACTATGAAGGAAATCTCTTGTGGGATCTAACAGTTACTAATAAAACGTATGTAATGCCTGTGTAGCCTACATTGAGTACTTGAAGCTGTGAGCACATCTTGTGTAAACTGTGGCTGTAATTTGTAAAAGAAAAGAGGTTATTCTTCCCCAAATACTAACATGAGCTCGTGTTTTGTGCGTGTTTGTTTTCTAGCATGCGACTGCCATCCGATCGGTGCGTCGGGAAAGACGTGCAATCAGACTACTGGACAGTGCCCATGCAAGGACGGCGTTACCGGCGTCACGTGTAACCGGTGTGCCAAGGGCTACCAGCAGAGTCGCTCGCACATAGCCCCTTGCATCAGTACGTGTGACACCTCTCTTACTAATGGCATGCCTGCTACCCGCTTGTCGAGTAAAACCTGTTCATGACGGAATGAAGAGACCTGAAAACTAGGCTTCTGCTTTATGGAGGTTGCCAAATTAAAACTGAGGCAGATAAGTTACAAATTAGTAGAAAGCCTGTACACATTTCCAGTTTTATTCTTTTCTCACTCTCTTCAGAAGTTCATAAGTTTCCTGTCCACGATTCGACAGTCCTTATGTCATTCTCAGTTCAACTCAGAGAAGCACAATACTCAAATTAACAAACATTTTCTGATAAATTATTGTTTTTCCTTGCTGTTTCCGCGTTAGTCTCCACTTATCACAAATAATTTTACATTCACTCTATAAAGCCAGGTCTCCATTTCAGACAGGTTTTACTGTGCTGCATTGGTCTATCATTGATGTTTGTTCATATAATTCTGTGCATGTATTTCAGTTGAATGTTCATGCACCTTGTTACCTGTTATCCCCAAAATCTAGATCCGATCTCTACCAAGATGGCTGTCGTCTGGGTTGTAGCGCCATGAAGTCTGATGGAAATTTACCGATGTTTCAGAGGTCCCCGCTGCCTCCATCATCAGATTACACGGCGCTACATCTCAGAAGACAGCTATCTTCGTACTCACAGCCGTGATAACGTCAAATCCTATTAATATTTACCAAATTTACCATGCATATTTGCCTTCACGCATTTTGCCATGTTTTACGATCAGATGAGAACATTAAAGAATGTGCAATACAGCATACCTTGAAGTCATCATTCGTAGTAGACTTTCCATTAATTTCACTATGTTTTCTTCAGGGTTGACTATCATCCTGATGCAAAACCAATAGATTTATTATTACCATAAACTTCAAATTTAAAATGTACAGACTTCAGAATTGTATAATAAGGAATGTAATTCTATGTTGAAGCAGACTTAAACGTAACTCAAATCCCTCGAAGGTCTTATCAACAATCTTACCTGGACCCACTTTCCTTGTAATCTGCCACGAGTTCATAGCGTACAAATACGTTTCAAAGATGTGTCAGGTGTCAGTCACCGCCAGCGTAGATTTACCAGTCCCGAAAACAAATTTTAATGAAGTGAACTGAACATGAAAACGATACGTTCCTCCGAAACTTTGATAACCTGCTACAAAAAAACAACCCCGAAGACCACAATTCACAATTTCACTGAAGAAGACTCTAAAAATCTTGTACTCCGCTTTTAAATTTCGTTAACTCTACGAAGTTTCTTGTGGTAGATTATGTAGAATTATGCTAATTCCTATAAATTTAAACTCCTGTATGTTTCGTCCAGGACGATGATAAAACTGACGTAATTATGAAACAGCTAGTGTAAGCTGCACTACGTCATTCTCGTACGTGGTAAAAAAAAATGTTTAAATCGGTAATTTCTATAGCTACTACTTGAAATTATTGCATAAATTCTTGTGCTACGAAAGTTCCAGGAGCCTTCTTTTATGTTCTCATGTGAAGCATGGATGTAGGTGTAGTCCCTTTTTACCACCCAAAAACAAATAAACATAAACACGTTAAGTGAATAGGTGAGGACGAGGTAAGGCCAGAGTGAAAACGATTTTATGGCAGTGGAAGTAGGCACAGTCAAATGTACATTATGCAGTTAATCTTAATGGAAAGTAAATAAATAATTAGGATCACAAAAATACATTACGCACATGAAAACGAATATGGGTTTGGCACAGAGTACTCTTTGTCCTTTATCTATTCATCTCATTCAGAAAATTTTGTCACGTAAATATCCGCTTTGTTCGCTGTACTTTGGAACTGATAAATGACAACTGGGGCCCCAAAAATTACTCTTCAGTGTCATTTTTACTTGTCCCCTGTATAAAATGCAGCTTCACTACTTTGCAGCTAGAGACTCCCGTCTTATGGTCTTCTGTTCAGTGGTACTCGCCTCATGACATGACAGAATTATAATAAATACATTATCATCTCAACACACAATTTCAAATTTTTATTTATATAATAATCATCCTTGTCCACGAAAATAAATTTGCCTTATCCGTATTTTCTTTCGAAATAGCCGTTTTAAATAGTGTACTCGCTCTGAGCGTAACTCAGGTGAATACTTCGTAAATTTTCAACAATCCATTGCTGTTCCGGTACTCACTACAGATTACAGCCTCCCTTTATTCATCTTAACGCTTGTCATGCAAATACATTTCATTGCGCTGTTCGGAGAAGTGCGAAATTATGATCGCGAATGCCACGAAAGTTCGACGAACTACTACGCCCATATTAAAACAGGCTCAAAGCCGAGAAATTACTTCATATTGTAACAAATACGGAGAGTCTGGACTCAACATAACGTCACTTACATCTTATAACCACCTCTCAATATAGTTACAAGGTGAACATTTCACATTAGTAGGCTCTGTAGTACAGCATACACACATTCAAGTCAAGCCCTTCGAGGGAATGGGATTAAGTTTAAATCTACCTTAATCCAATAAAAATATGTCCTATGCAAAATAAAATTTCCAAACCACCAATGAATAATCCCGGAAATGAAATTGAAATCGCTCCAGCACTTATAAGCGCATAAGCTGTAAACTCTTTTCTTTTCCTCCACAGAAATCCCAAAGATTTCAAACACGCAGGCAACAGCAGGGAGTGATGAGGATGGGGGCGGTGCGGGAGGCGGGAGAGGTAAGTAAGTGCAATTGTTCGTACACTTATTTTAACTTAACATTCAACAGGGATAGCTCTCATTAACCGACACTCTCCCAGTACTGGAAGGCTCACCGAAGATCGTCTCCCCAACTTGCGCAGGTAAATGTCGTGGGAGTTAACTACGAATCTGGAACTGAAATATTTCAATCAAATTTGATTTTTAGTGGAGGTGTATAGCTTAGAATTCGGCAGACGTAAATACCGGGATCGAATATCTTAACGAAATAGTCTTCAACCTACAATGCAGCGAGTTTATTCAAGTCGTGCACTTACGTACGAAATACGAACACTAATGTCACAGTTTAAGAAAGATAAAAAAAATGCACTGATTTTACAAACAATTAAATCAATTAATTTTCGCCCCTCGTACGATCGCCATGCTATGTTGTTCACTCGAAAAGAAAACGGAACAAAATGAAATCCGAAGCACCGAACTATTCGAATAAAGACATCTTGAACGTGCAAGAAATGAAGCGACGCCACGTTTGAAGTTCTATCTTCTCGTTACTGCTGTAACAGTAATTGACTCCAATCTCACCCAGGCACTTCATTCAATCCCCCGAAGACGGCGAAATCTATCTGCACCACGGCAATTCACAACTACACTAACGTCACTCTTGCCATCGTCTCCGCGCAGAATACGGTGGTCAACTCACGTCTGGATATAATCATAGCACGCCAGGTTTCTTTATTCCCATCCTCTGCTTGTTACGAGGTTACGGACTTCATGCTCTCGGACCAGGGAAAATGGCTCTAAAAAGGAACGACCATAATAGAACTGCTCCCTAGAGAACAAGCATCTAGTAATATAGCAAAGGATGCAGGACGCAGCCGTGTCGCAACTAATGAAATTTTTCATCCCTCTTCGACCTTTTTTTTTCACACGCAGTTGCTGATGTCTCAAGTGGATTTACTTCTGACACATAAGATACCGCAAAATTCTTCTTCCTTCGAATATTACATTTGCGAAGGGATAAAGAAAATTGGAGGTCAAGCTTAAAAAAAAACAAGTTATGTAGTCTAGACACGATACCACGTTCCGGTTTCTACGGTTCACACTAAGCTGTCCGCATACCCTTTAAAGTAAGGAATCTCTGTCGTCGGATTCTCTTCATGACAGCAAAATGGCACAGAAGTAAAATTCAAATCAATGTCAATTGCTCACACATTTTATTTATATTTCAGTAGACGGACTTGGAACTACAGATTTATTCGTAGGACGCAAGGCTATTTCCTGCCAAAAAAAAAATTTGTAGAAATTTAATATAATTTTACACCTGATGGTGGTTTAATAAAACCGAAACATGTTGTAACTGTTCCAATTGTAAATCGATTATTCGATATGGAACAAAGAATGATATTTTAATTATTTTAATTATCTTATTTTAAATACATTGTGATTTGACGGAATAACCAAATAATTTAATAAATCACAATATGACGCAACTACACTATTTTATAAGTAACAAAACAGAACTGAGAACAAGAAACGAAGAACGTGCAACTTGTATTCATAAAAACAAAATTCTTTAGTTCAGTAGTCTCCGTTCCTGTCTGAACTTCTGTCTCTCAGTCCGTAATTGTGTTTCGTTGCATTACGTGAGACGTCAAACTCAATAAAAAAAAGGTGACTGTACCAGGAGCGAACACAAGACAACGGAGGATCATACCCACCTACGTACTTTACCAATTCCAAACGTAAGTTTAATATAGGCCTATATTTTTCGCTCCTGTTTTCCCACATGCATACATAAATGTGAATTTAATTGAAACACACTTTCACTTTATTTAATTATTTAATATTACGCAGCGGTACACAGTCGGCTATTTGACACGAATCTAAAACTTAAAGTTTATTAAAATGTGGACATTTTGAGGCTTACAGCGTCTGTAATTCAAGAACAGAGTATGGCCGCGAGAAATATCGCGAGTGTGATTGCTTTATGTTCATCTGCCGACATTTTGCCGACATTTCATTGGCTTAGAGGGACGATGAGAGTGAAATTATATTCCTGAATGCACGGAGACAATGAATGTGTTGCAAGGTGAAGATACTTTTCCTCATCGACGTGAAAACCTCGGATCTCACATGTTGCAAGATGTTTCATAAATAGTTCCAGTACGAATTCAGATGTCTGCAAATATTAACGTTCCTCATGTTGACTACTCAACTAGCTGACTTTTCTAGTATCTGCTTACTGTTCGGTGCTGACTTAACATTTTAAGCATCTTCAGAATAACTAGGCTTCATAACTTCGACGTTGCAGAAACTATAATTTAATTCAAATCTTTTATATAGGTATAAGTTTTCTCAGCCTTAATAAATCAACAAAGCTTCGTTTTACTTTTTAATCGGTGCGAAAAGTTAGTTACAGCTATGCAAATTGATTAAGAAAAATTAGTTCTCCTCAATCAGGTTATAATTTAAGGTAAAATCTTAAAATGCTGCTTGCCGGTCTGAGCTAATTGAGACTTCCACGTACTTTAAAAAGCGCTTTGCAATATACAATTATTGCACGCGTTATTCTCTGAAACAAGGAAGGATTAATAAAAAGACTTTAGAAATAAAAATAAAAATTAAAACTTTTAAATTGATTTTTTAATTTCTCGTCCCTTCAAGTTAGGTGTAGAACCAGTCTTAGAAAATGTGTAGCACAAAAAAGATCTCCAGTATAAATGTAAAACGAGTGTCGTCTGACATCATTTATAACACATTATGAAAAAAAAAGTTTGCAACCAATTAAACGGCGGTGTGTCCTAACGAGTTAATATTATAACTTAATTAAAATTCCGATCCATTAAAGAAAACGAAAATGACAGATGAAGCAGATATATTTAGGTAGGGCTAGCCAAATCGTCTGGAAAGCCAAAGAGCTTGAAGTGCAATACACAATGTTATATCAGCTGCAAACAAGCTTCCCGATCTAAGACGTACTTGTTTTATGGGTGGTAAACAATGTGTCGTAAAGAAGCAACCCTTTAACGACGAAAAATTACGCAATTTCATATCGCAAACATTTTCTTTCGCCAACGACGTCATGGCATGTGGACATGACGGCCTCGACATTGAACGTCATTTATATGGCGGTCACGAACTATCACACACACGTACTAGCGAAAATACATTATGTTTGCCCACGTTTCTCTTTAAATAAACTATAGGTCCCTCAGAAATAGTAAAACTGGCTACTTATAACATTCGTTGCAAAAATACTCTCGCCGACCGAAGAAAAATTTACTTAACCTGGCTCAAAGAATAGGTTTTTCTTAAAAAAAAATACTGTAATAACGAAATCGCTTATTGATTTTGGTACTCTTGTAAATGTGATTTTTCCCGTTTAGTTTTGTATTTCGTATTTACCGCCGCGGCGCTGATAAGTGACCGCTTATTAACACCCAAGATTTGCTTACCCCTAGCCTCACACTGTTTACTGTCTCTCGTGTAAGCCATGTTGTAGTCACGCTAATTTATCGTTTTGCAGGAACAGTAGCACGACGGATAAGATGGCAGATTTCAGTGTGGAACTCGGAATAAGTTTAAAGTGCATGAATATAGCGACAATACTCAGGGAAATCAGAACGAACGCTGAACTGATCTCTCGCATTCAAGTCCAAAACTTGCTCATTCCATGTTGCATTTGAGATGTACGAACCAGAGATGATGTTCTGCATGTTCAGTATAACCTCTTCATGTCAATAAACATTGGTTAGTATTAAAAATATATTAAAATTAGCCGTCAATCACAATATAATATTATTAAAAGATTAAAATATCATTTTACGTTCCCTATCGAGTACTCGATTTACATGTGGAACATACACGACATGTTTCGGCTATATATAGCCATCATCAGGTGTTATGTATTTGTATTTCGTATTGATGTCAATGTTTTGTATATGGACTGTGAAGTAAAGGTTTCAAACTATTAATGAAAATTGAATATAGAAAACAAAATAAATAGTTGAAATTAATCATGTGAACTTACCCAATGATATTTTAATCTTTTAATAATATTATATCGTGATTGACGGCTAATTTTAATATATTTTTAATACTATATAAATCACAATATGACGCATCTACAATATCTTATAAACATTGGTTAGTTTATAATTTATATTTTCAACTGGCTCAGTGTAATAGAGAATTGTAATTTTATTATCGAAAGCGTCGTTATTTTTCCCAGTTCTACATAAAATGGATTGCTCCGAAACAATTACATTCCTTATTTTATAACAGTCTTACGACTACTGGCCGGTTGTTAGGCATTATGGACACACCCACTTCGTCCGTTTGTCTCCTGCGTCATTCAGCGGTTGGGATCGTGCTCTTGAGGAACTTCCGATCCAGATATTGTCAAAATCTTAAGTAAACTGTGAGAATTGTCCATTGACGCATAAATATAATTATTGTACGATGACCATAAAACACATTTAATCATAATTACACAATTAAAACTGTTTCAGCCACGCAAAATCCGGATCGACGTCGTCTTCTTCCTTGTCTAGAGGCATGACACCACGGATTCTTCTTATGAAAGTATTACGCCTAGGCTGTGCAAATATACGAGTAACGCCGCCTTCGTCGTAAACACCATGGCTATGCTATTGTAATTTTGTGTGTCATAATGGTTCTCTGACTTCCACGTCACCTCAAGGCAACCTCTAAATCCGCCACTGAGATGCGGACACAGAGGGGGGGGGGAGGAATTGGAATGCCCGCTAATGTTCTCAGTTAATTATTCCGTTGCCTTACCCGAGACTACCCTTGTCGTCGTCACCCGGCAGTGATCCAGCGTTGTGTGATTAGCTAACAGCTTTGCGAATTTATCTCAGTCTACCTCCGACTTTATCTGAGCGTTTCAATAATTTTAACACTCCTTGTCCACGGTGTCGCAACCTCACTGCTCCAGTTTCTTACGTGAGAGAACTTGCATAATAATTATTCAGTTTAAATGAGTGGTTCTGATTACTGG